TCCACCTCCTCCACCACCGCCTGGGAATGGAGCTGGCCCTCCTGCTCCTCCTGGGGCCCCAGGTGTCCCTCCTCCACCACTTGGTGGTGGTAGGGGCTCCTTGGGTGGGGGAAGAGGACAGGGCCTTGGACGTACCACAGCCCTGGGAGTGTCTAATTCGTCTCGAAAATCATCATTAAAACCATTGCATTGGGTGAAGGTATCAAGAGCTATGCAAGGAAGCTTATGGGCAGAGCTTCAAAAACATGCTGATACTCATAGGTAACCTTAAAATGATTATGTCTTGTAAATGAAATTATGTTGAATTAGTTTGCTCAGTTACTTTAATGATAATTTGGCTTACATGACATTTTAAAACTCTTAACTTCTATAACACTCAGTTCTGTTGTGAATGCCTGGTAGTTAGTTTTAACCTAGCGCTTACTTTTTAGCATTCTTGAATTTCTTTGGTAACTTTTTGGTGCAGCAATTCAGAATTTGATGTGTCAGAAATTGAGACTCTCTTCTCAGCTGTGGTTAAGAAGCCAAATAACTCAAAATCTGATGGTCAGAAGTCTCAAAAATCTGATAAAGTTCACCTGGTAAGTTCCAAATACTACATGATTTACTATGACATATTGTTGTGACTTTGCTTGTTATTTTTTTCCGTGCGTTTGTAGCAGCTACTCATTACTTCTTTTAGAAACCAAGGTTTTGATCAAAATGTGATTAGCTTTTCTGTGGGTTTTTTTAATCTTCTTTAATCCTCTTAGGCTCATAGTGGACATGCCTCTCAGGTACGAAAGCATGTAATGCGGTACTATGTAATCATATTTCTAAGTCACCAATTGGCTTGACCAATAATAAAGTATAGTTGACTTGTTTTCTCATCTTCTTTATGAATGGTAGTCAATTTTTTAATTATGGAGTGATGGTAATAAAGTTACAATGTACTCTTTGGTTGATGCAGCGACATTGGTGCAATACAGTTGTATTGAAAATTTAATGAAAATTTGATAGCTGCTGCTTTATATTTCTTCCATAAAAAAGCTGAATTAAAATCAACCTATCAAATGCTTCCTAAACAATAAATCATGCTATAAATGAACATTTGCTCGCTGGCTTATTTTACTGTTTACATTTATTCTTCAGTTACCTGCATTTACAATCTACTTATCATACTACTGACATATATTTTTACAATTTATGCCTTTTCAGTTGGCTGTGATAAGTTTGAATTCCGGCATGTGTGCAGAATTTGTCTTCAGAAAGAAACGCCTATTAAATTAATATGATTCATAAACCAGTATAGTTGACGGCTGATATTTATGGAGAGAATTCATGTATTAGGGGCTAACATAATTAGGTCATCTGACTCTGCAGCTATATGGAGTCTATGTTTGGTAATAATTGTTACTGCTGTTTTCAACATGCTGTGAAATTGACCTTCATACCATATGTTGGAAGAGAGTACCATCCCAAAAGGGTAGTTAGCCTTAGTAGTTAGTCACAGACAAATTAACAAGATCATTTTCTTCTGAGGTACTCAGATCTGAGATTAAATTAGTAGTTTACTTCGACAATAACTTGAACTGCAGTCTCAGTCATATCATTCTCCATGCTAGGGATGTAAGAACTTGAATTCGTTTCTTGGTCCGTCTTTAATCTGATCTTAACTATCTTGATATTTTTTTATTTCGTTTATTCTATTGAATTGATGTGTTGCAGTCATTAAACTATTTAGATTGACATCGTGTTAGTAGCTAACTCTTTTTATGTTATCTATGTATTAACTCAATCCAATCTTTGGATCAAAACACATTTTTCTTAACACACAGAATCCGATTATTGACTTTGCTGTAGACTTTTTTTCCTGATTCATTTAGAATATCCATTTATTTGTAGACTACCAAAATTAAGTGACAATAATTTGAGCTGAGCATGCAGTTTTATCATCCATGCTAGAAGAGTGAAAATTTGCTATGGCTTTTATTTTTGGTTTCTAATTAATCTTCACTTATATTTCTTGATGGCTCATTTCATTTACTCTATTGTTGTGTCGTGGTTATTGAGCTTTTTTGTCATTATATTGATAGCTTATTCTTTTATGTACTTTATAAAAAAACAAATGCATTATTTTGTTTGAGAAGCATTTTCTTACTTGCCGATGCACATAATCTATTTCTTTATATCACATCAGGTTTTTTATTTTTCCTATTCATTTTGGATATTCATTTATCTGTAGATTGACCTTAGACGGGCAAATAACACTGAAATCATGCTGACAAAAATCAAGATGCCACTGCCTGATATGATGGTAAGTAATGCACTAGTTACATGCTTCTTTATATTAGGTCTATCAAGGCAATATCTAATGTTTATCCAGCACCAGTAACTTTATTGTACTCTTTATGCAAAGAGACTTAGAGTCGTGAGCTGAACTTTTATCGACACCATCTTTTTCTTGTTATATTTACTTTTATCTACATCTTACGTTCTTATTAATGTATTGAGACAGTCCAGTTCTTTTTAAATGCTTACTTGGAATTTTCATAAATTTGGTTGAATTCTCACCACTTAATTCATGGTAAATCATTGTAATTTTGTTTCCTAGCAGTTTATGTCTATTGGTTCATATCTCATGGCATGAATTTCAATTAAAAAGTTGGATCGTTAAATTTGGGCTGTTTTCTCAAGAGTTGATTCATGGTAACACATAAATTATTGTATTTTTGTTTCCTAGTAGTTTATGCCTAGTGGTTCAAATCTAGTGGCTTGCATTTGAATTAAGAAGTTGGATCGGTAAATTTGGGTTTATATATATATATATATATATAGGGTTTGACTTTGATGGTTATGAGGTGGAAGCTCATTTAGGAAAATGAGCTACCAAGATATACAGGAGGTGAGATCTACACCTTTCGATGTGACAGGTAGGTTGGGTCTCACCATGTGGTTATCTCTTCCTAGCTCATTTAGCAAAATAAGTCACCACCTTATATCCATTTTTTCCATTAATATATATGTGTGTGTGTGTTTGTGCGTGTATGTAAAGAAAGTCAAGATGCAATTTAAGATTTTACGGTCAATTCTTTGGTTTTGCTTGATTTGATCCGCATAGATTTAGTTTGTGAATATCACAATGAACAATTTAGAATATAATATAAGGATGTGAACTGTTTATTTTTTCTCAGATAAATATAAATTCTTATTCTTACACCTTATATATAGGCCAATGACTACATGAGAAAATTTCACTATTGGATCATATAAACTATACTTTCTCTACCATTATTTCATATGTTAACTATTCATTATGAATCTATGATAGTCATAGTCTAAATTTAGGCCAACAAAAAAATTAAGAAGTTTAGAATTTGTTCTCCCATAAACAATCACATTTATTTGATTGCTTAAAATTGTTACTTTTGCAACCATTTGATCATAGGTTAAAGGTGATCAGAATTCATGACCTATCATCTACATACATTCTATAAATCGAGCATCACTTTGTATGCTGCAAATTTTGCATTTTAGGTAGGAAAATAGTAGTTCTGAAATGTCCATGGGGGACAATTTCCTCCTATAGCTACTAACATGCCGTATCATAGTACGTATACTATGGACAAGGGAGATGGGCAATCATTGTAGTAAATTCAAACACCAGACCTCTGAAAGCTATGCTAAACCAGCATAAGTGATTATTCTCACAATCAACATGATCTCTCTCATCATGTGTATCTTAATGAACATTAGGAGTTCAAGGACTTCTGTCCTATGCATCAACTGGCTGCAAAATAAATGCTTTTCAACGATATAATAAATAAGACAACTTCATTTAGTGAAATACTATTCTCATCATACAAATTATCATTTTATGTTTTAAGTTGCGGTGAGAATGGCGGTTGCTGTCAATGTTGAAAAATAACGATAACACATAATGTAACACTCACTTTTGAATAATGTAAAATGCAATGCAACCTAACATATAACACGAGTTTCATGTTTTATTTTACAAAGCTTATTTGTCAGACATATGTGCTTAGGTTTGATGATTATGAGATAGTGACTCATCTAGCAAAATAAGCTACCAAAAAATAGAAGTGTGGGGCCCACACTTTATGATGTGACTAGCATGGCAGGGCTCACCACATGGCGGCTATCTCTTAATAGCTCATTTAGTAAAACGAGCCGCTACCTCATACTCATTATTTCCTACACACACACACATATAGACACATGCACATCTAGTTTTATATTTCCAGTGTGAAGAACCATCATGATTAATTGGTGGAAGAAGTTCCTGGTACAGTGGATATTCTTCTTGGGGGAACCCCTGGTTCAGAAACAACAAATTTCCCATCAGACTTGATTTCAAATGGATGGATGTAGTTTTTTTTTAACCTTTCGGTTTTGTACTGCATTGCATCATATATATCACCTAAAGTTATTACTACATTAACTTTCTCTTATTTTCTCAGGGTGCTGCTCTTGCATTGGATGATTCTCTATTGGATGCTGATCAAGTGGAAAACCTCATAAAATTTTGTCCAACAAAAGAAGAGATGGAACTTCTCAAGGTGCATACAAGAAATAAATAATGTTTTTTCTCTTTTTCTTTAAAGTCATCTATCAGAATCTGTGTTTTATGTTTCCTCATGATGTGCATCTTGCTGCTGTTAGGGCTACACTGGTAACAAGGAAACTCTTGGAAAATGTGAGCAGGTAACCTTCTACGTTATCAATATATAGGACCATATGATCACTACAGGGTTAAATCTTGTCGATATATATTATTGAGATTAAGCATCAGGTGTAATAAAATTTAAGCTTTTTATGTTTTTCAAACGAATAACCACCATAGCTTCAACAATAGATACCAACAATGGTAAAATCATTTATCATTGGATGTTCTTTATTGGTGTATGGATACATTCAAGACTTCAGAAATAATCAATCAAGTGTATGTAGTTCCTTGAAATACTATGCCCCAAGGAGCAGAGAAATTTTAAAAAAAATTCTTTACATCTTATTACCTGTCAAATTGTTGGAATTTCTCCCTCAATTGTATGATATTAGCTTTGCAAGAATTTCTATAAATTTCTTTCCTTGGCCTCTACATTCAAATAAGCATTAACCGCTAGCCAGTTGATTTACTTCCTGATAATTTTGCGCGAAATGTCCTCCCTTTGACTCTACAATGAAAGCATTTTTAGAAATTTATTTACTTGATCTCTACATTCAAATAACCATAACCATAACAAGTTAATTTACTTTCTGGTAATTATGCTGAAAAGACTCGTTGGACAGAGGTTAGTTTAAAGAACTCGTCATACACTTCTTGTATGTATATCCTACATTTCACATACACTTTTGAAACTCATTAGACAGAGGTCTAGTTTATTTCTGCATATACCCAATTCAGAACTATGAATATATAGGGTCTTTTGGATATCAGATTTAAAACTGAGCAGTTTTTTTCTAGTTTGTATATCTATATAGTAACAAAAACTTAAAAGCAACATAAAATGTTATAGGAATTTTTATTTTCATAACATGAATCTAAATCAATATATGCACGTATATATGTGCATAAGTGTCCGTGTAACCTATGTTTTTCAAATTTCTCGTGTCCCTCTACCTGCATTCGTACCTTCACCATACTCGTATTTATGTTAACTTGTTCAAGTTTGTAAGCACTTGCTTCAAGGTTGGAGTTCAGTCAAGATTTGACCCATCAGTTATGTTTAGTCTCACGACACTTACAAAAAGTTTTGTAACCATCTTGCATGCTTTCTTGGATGTGTTGGATTTAATCTCCTTATGCCAAGGAGGTTAGCTATGTAACCTATTTATACATAAGAATATGGGGAGAGATACAGAGCGGAGATCTATGGAGAGGAGAGGAAGGATCCGCAAATGATTTTCATTGATCTAGAAAAAGCTTGCTATAGAGTGTTGAGGGCGATAATGCTTTGGGTTTTAGGAAAAAAAACAAGTATGTAATAGGTATATTGATGTGATGAAAATATGCATGATTGAATAAGGTGAGAACAAAATAAAGGAGGTACTACTTACTAGGCAATGTCCCCTTTTTTTGTGCTGTTCGTGTGGGTTCCTTAAAGTAACTTTCCCATTAGATTACTCTTACAGCATTTCATATGAATTTTTTTGTGCTGCAGTTCTTTATGGAGTTGATGAAAGTTCCCAGGGTGGAATCCAAGTTAAGAGTATTTTCTTTCAAGATTCAGTTTTCCACACAGGTTACATATAATCTTTATCTTTATCTACTAGAGTGGAAGTGTGGTAGTTTCATGATCTTTACATCTCTCACTGTTTCTCAGATCAAAGATATTAGACAGAGCTTGAACATTGTCAACTCTGCATGTGAACAGGTCCTACCAACATGCCACTATAATCTTTTGCTTTTGCATCATCTATCATCATAGAAATCATTTATTCCTTGGTCTTTCAGATTCGGAGCTCTGATAAACTGAAGGAGATTATGAAGAAAATTCTCTATCTTGGCAATACATTGAACCAAGGAACTGCGAGAGGTAACGGACATTTCATTTACTTACCAACTTTATCCAAACCAAGATTAAGAAACTTTATTCGGCTTATTAGGATATAACTGGATGAAAATTTGTATCACATTAGCTCCAGTTATTGATGATTATGGTTGTGACCCATGGTTTGCGTATGTTCTCCCGCCTTGGGATTTTCTCATATGTATGTTTGGGATGTTTGTTTCACTTGATTTGACCCCAACTTTTCTTTATCTTCCTATATTATTGTAGGCATCTTAAATGAGCTATAGCAAAACCTACTATCTTACCTTCCTATAGCAAAACCTCCTATCTTACCTTCCTTTCTGGATTCCTTTTTCGTTTTGGAAATTTTGAGCCTGCTGCTGGGTTTTCTGAGTTTAAGCTGCATAGGCAACATGGTATCTCTGTCTGCTACCAACTTTCTGTTAAATTTCGATACATGATCCTTTCTTGCTCAGAATTAACTTTGCTAGGAATTCAACACGACACAGAGGGACAACATCTAGTCAGCTTCTATTTATAAGGCTTTCATCGATTCTTTGGTTGAATATTTTCAACTTATTGTTCCATGGCGGAGCCTTTTTCCATGAGAAACACTTAGGATGAGGTGTGCTGTAATGCAACTAGCCTAAATCTTCCCTTTTCAAAATATTTTTGAAAAATCCAGTTTGATCTGCCTGTTCTTAATTTTTTCGTGTGATAAACAATGCTATGGAATCCCTTTTCCTCATTGAAGTCCAGATTAAAGCTTCGTCACTTGACTTCTCAATGGCTGTCCTACCACAGGCTTGCACTGTAGGTATGATACACCATGATGTGTAAGCAGTCTTTCATATCTTAAACTTAATAAGACAAACGTTATTAAATATAATACTATATCCTTTATGCAAAGATAACCCTGTTAATAATTTTGTGACACTTTTGATTTCATAACTTTGACAAGATAAATAATATGTGATATATGCTTGGTTGTAGCATGCTTATTAATTAACTGCTCATGCTGCTGAAGACAACTATACACGATCATTTTGTGATCATTTTGACTGGTCTAGGTCCTTGACAATTTTGAATTCTTCAGAGTAGCTGCGGCCATCTATTTGTATGTGTCAGCAGTGATCTTTCTCTATTCAGACTGATTCAGAGCATCAGTGAATTCTGAAATTACTGCTTAGAGTAGTCTTTTTGTCTTGTATTATTTTGAAGTCCCTTAACGATTTTTTTTGGTAGTTTAGAAAAAGTTCATGGAGTCATTTTTACTTTATTTAGATGATTTATATGTAAGACAATTTCATTTTGAGGGTTATTGGTTTGCTTGAAGATGACAAAAGAGGAGGGTAGAAGGATCCAATTAAAACTGGATGGTTGGTAAAAAATTAAAAAGAGAATAATGAAAAGGTAAAAGACAAGGGTAGTTTAAGGTTAAAAAAAAACATCATGTGGGCTTTAATGAAGTATGTCCTACGGTTGCAATGGAATATCTACATTCCCTGTCATATAATTAGGGTAACATTTTCGATGTTAGTAATCAAGTAGTATCCTAGCTATCTAAGTGTTCTAATAGTGGTTCAAATTGTCCAGGTGCAGCTGTTGGTTTCCGGTTGGACAGTCTTCTGAAACTTACAGATACCCGTGCCACTAACAATAAAATGACACTTATGCATTATCTATGTAAGGTACAAACTCTTTTTTCGTAAATCATGATTTATAGGCACCTGTATATTATCTCTTTTAGCAATTTATGATGGAAGGTTTAACTATGTTATCCTATTAGTAACTCACTCCTTCTAAGCCTAATTATGATTTTCTTTGATGTGGAACTGTTGAGCTTAAGTGAGAATTTGAACTGGCATGATTTTGTTTCTTAGCAGAATCTTTATGTATTATTTTTGGAATTTTAGCATTCTAGAAGGAAACATTTAGGCCAAGTTTGTTTTTTATCCCCGGACTAGGGGTATTATAATATTCGGATTATAGTCCTCGGATTGTGTTATCCTCGGACTATTTTAGTCTAGTCTAATATTTGTTTTTACACGGCTAACGTTTGGACTAGCTTCAAATAATCCATGTTGGTGTTTGATTTTAGGGGGATTATGAATGTTCAAAACTAATATCATAGCCAAAATGATTTTTTCGCCCTCTAGTCAACTAATATTGCATTAATGCATTTGTTTAGTAATTTTTTTAAAGAATTTGTGCATGATCTTTTTTGAACAATGTACATACTGTCATATACCTATTATGATGAATAGGAATTCAAATTTCCTAAGCATCATCAATTTGATATATTGTCAAATTTGAAAGTTCAAAGTTAGCGAACAATTTGTTCAGTGTCTACTCTGTACATTTTCATCATGAACATTAAGCACACTATGGACATAGCACCAATAAAGTGGTGCGTCATGTCCAATTCAGTGACTAAACAAGCAAACATTGATATATTTGATATTCCTAAAGTTTGCTCCTATATTTTTTATTTTCTGCTACTCGTGATTATTTTTTGATAGTGTCTTCTTTCCTGCTTGCATAAAAGAAAGCGGTGGAGAAATTAATAGTCGTATTAAAGCATTCTTCTCGGCGGAGAAAAACAAACAGGGTCTTAAGCCTAGTCTCATATCAAGCCTTCTTCCTGCTTTAATCTCTTGTTACGCATTTTACTTTGCATAATAGTCATATTAAACTATAGATTTCTGGCTCGGAGGTTTGTTGTGTGATGTCGTGTGTGGGGGGGCGGGGGGGGAGGGTTTGGTGCTTTTAGTTGGTAAAAACAATGACTCAAAATAAGTGATCCTCAAAATGTATAATCCAAAGATTTATATTCAAATGAATTCATGTAAGAGATAAGTTGGTTGGCTGCCATTTTGTATTCGGTAAGTCCAAGACTAGGTTGCTTGATGACCAAAAATGAAATTAGATGAAAACATAACAGTCCATCCTCTATTGAAGCCAGAGTTATACCTAAACAGGTACATGTAAGATAAGTTGGCTATTCACCTTGTTCTTCTATCATATTTGCAGTAACATGTAGTTTCTTATTTATTCATGTAAAAATCCTAGTAAACATGTTAGTTAAGTTTTCATTATTAAAAGACAAACCTTAAATTTAATTACAACAACATAAAATAAATTGCTAATAATTTATGCTTATATATATATTCTCTTTTAGGATCGAAAGAAAACAATCTAGTTTATTTAAGACAATGCTTTGGCTGGCTTGGCAAGCCTATTTGTTATCGTTGGTTTTTTCTTTTCAAAGCTATGATTAATGTATTATGTTGAATCTAGTATATCATCTTTCTTTGCTTGTATATGTTTAGTTTTTTCTGATCTTTCACATCTGTATAATATCACTAGATCGAAACCTTAACTTGCCATAACATCAGGTCCTTGCCTCAAAGTCATCTGATCTTCTAGACTTCCATGAGGAACTTACAAGTTTGGAAGCAGCATCAAAGGTTTTCTAACGTTCTTGGTACTATAATTGTTGGTCTTCAAATATTGTAATCGAAGTAATCTTATATATTGTTCGTATAGATACAATTGAAATTATTGGCCGAAGAGCAACAAGCTATTGTCAAAGGATTAGAAAAGGTTGAGCTGGAGCTGTCTGCATCAGAAAGAGATGGTCCAGTGTCAGAAATTTTCTGCAAGGTATGATCATGTACTTTAGTTCCACCATTAGCTCCTTTATGGACCATTTTTATTGTTATAATCTCATACCGACACTTACCTATTTTGATTTTTTCATACCCATAGCTTTCATACCGTTAAAGTAATTCTAAAGAAGTTTTGAATTATCTTGAGGGTAAAAATCTGAATGTGGATGAGCCAGCCGATGCAGAAAAAGTGTTGCCCCCTCAAGTATACAGGATTGATCATCATTAATGACACTTTTCTTTTGTAGATCAAAATTTGTAATGAGAAATGAAACTCAACATTTTGTTTTCATGTGTTTTAAAAGCAGATATATACGGGTTGTTTCCAATCCAAAATTCTATATATTTATATAAATTTTAATTATAATGATGCATCTATTTCAACATAGTTTCAATTACTTTTTTTGCAAATTATAATTCTTATGCGCTTGATTTTAGACTTTGAAAGAGTTTACAGCTATTGCTGGAGCTGACGTGGGATCCATAACAACACTCTATACTTCAGCGGTAGGCTACTGAATTGACTTCTACTTTCTAAGTCATATTTTGATGATTGTGCAATCTTATATATTTAGCTAGTATTTCAATCCCTTAAATATGAACTCTCTTCTTACTTCTTCAAGTGATGACAGAGTAAAAATGCAGATGGACTTGCTGTATATTTTGGAGAAGATCCTGCTCGTTGTCCCTTCGAACAAGGTAATTCATCAACTTCATCTTCCTATATGATTAATTTGTAGTATGTGAATGTGTGGACGAATATTGTAGGACTGCAGACTATCATGATCCAATTCATTTTGCATATACATGGAATTATCTTATAAATGTTACATCATCTTTATTAATCTCTTCATGCTAGGACTATAACCTTAACATAACTCTTGAAATTTGTAAAGGAAACTTAAACATCGGAACAGTATTTTAAGGATTGGTATAAAGAGCAAAGAGCTGCCTAGACTCCTAGGCGGCCACTTAGGGCTTTTAAAATGTCAAAATGGCAATGAAAACTATATTGAGCTATGTATCTTTCTTTTAACATCGTACAATTTTTTTTTTTCTGTGGAACCCCATTTGTCACACTAGGTTGCAATTCTTCTACATTGTAAAATTTAAAATTAACTTATGATTGTCATTGCAATTTAATTATTTGGCCTTTTTTTGTACTTGTGTCGGGATTTTTTTCATGTTCAAGGACAAAAATAGAATAAAAAATAAAAATTAAATCTACTTAGTCTTAAACAAGCAAAATTGACGATATAGCAAGGTTTTAAATATCGGCCGACATGTCCGACATGTCGGCCGACATATCGGTTTGAGGGCTTGACCGACACGACATGGACGTTTTTAACTCATATATCGGTTTTCAGGGCAAAATCGGAAATATCAGGGTCATATCGGGCATATCAGCCTATTTTTTAGCTTTGAAAAATTGACCGATATGGTACTTTTTTTAAGATCTGTTTTTTGTTATCGGGTTTGGGTTTAGTGATAAATACCCAAACCCGTTTGACTCGTTCTCATGTTTAAGGGTTCCTTATGAACCCGATAGAAAAAATTTATGAACCCAAATCCATATATTATTTATTTTTTTATATGTTCAGTCTATAGAATTTATAAAGTATGCTTATATTGAATTTATGAATGCTTAGATTACATTTAGGACATGATATTATATATATGCGCACTACCCAATATGGCAATCCGATATTTAGTCAATGTCCCCCGATATATCCCCGATTTCTGCTATCTGATATGGATTTCAGCCATCCGACATGAACCCGACATCCGATATTTAAAACCTTGCGATATAGTGACATTTGTGTGAAAACAATGAAAAAATTTATTTATGCACTTGGTCGAAAATACACCATATATATAATCATTTAAGAATAACTATGGCAAGTAATAACAAAATTAGAAATTTACATCACATATTAAACTATTAAAATGCCAAATTAAAAATAATTTTGTTAATTGTTTTTATGTCTAAGAGTGATTTTGGAAATGGATGAATTTAGAAGTAAATAGGTGTAAACTTTACGTTTATAGATAAAAAAATCATTTTGGAGGTGGATGATTATAAAATTAAATACAGATATAATGTAGGTTTATATTTAAAAACTCGCCCATTATGCCGTGACATTAGCGTGAGAAAGAAGCCAAACAAATGATTTAAGTATTTGGTTTCAAAATATACACCCCATACATAACAGAAAAGTATAGGAAGTTACAGTATAATATAATAACTTACATAGTATACAAAGTATTGAAATATAAGGTGAGTTTAAAATTAATATGGAGTATTTGGGGACTATGGGTTATTTTTGAAAATGTGTGGATTTCTAAAAACACAGAGGTTAAACTTTGGGTTTATCCATAAAAAACATTTTTGGAAGTATGTGAATTTAAAAATAAATGAGGGTAAAACTTTAGAAAATAAATGAGGGTAAAACTTTGAATTTATAGGCAAAAATCATACAATTTGCAGTGCCTTGATATTAGTGTGAAAAAAAGAAAAATAACGGTTTAAGTATTTAGGTTAAAAATACATGATATACCTAACTACTAAGTTTGCTAGTTATGGCTGCAATTCGCTATACATAATGAGCTACTAGATTACAAATTGGGTTTAAAAATATTTTGGTGTGTATTTTGGTCTAGGAGTGATTTTGGAAGTCAGTGAGTTCAAAATAAACGAGAGAGAAGGTTTGGGTTTATAGGTAAAAAAATCATTTTTATGAAATAGATAGGTTTAACAAAATGGAGTAAAGCATTGGATGAAGTATTTTGGGTCTAAGAATGATTTTGCACGTAGACAGATTTAAAAATAAGAGTTTAGTCGGTGTTAATTGTCATATGAGATAATTTCCTCATATACAATAATGTGGCTCAATCTTAATCAAATGTTGTTATGACCTTGTTCTTCTCATTTATTTACTTGATAGAGATTGTGCCACATCATTGCCATATGAGAGATCGTCTCTTATACATTTTTCTCTAAAAATAATTGAGGGTGAGACCTTTGGGTTTATATAATCAAAAAAACATTTCTATTACTATTATATTATTCTATTAAAGTTTACGGAGTATTTTGATCTTAAAGAGGATAAATGATTTGTTTTTGAAAATTGGCGGGTTAAAAATAAATTTGTTTACAAATTGGATTTATTTGCAAGTGCGCTTTATTTAAATCCCATCTTTGACCATGTGCTAGTGCTTAGCTTGCACTGTCAATATGTCTAGCTTGCACAATGCCTAGGTCCCTAGTTGTATACGTTAGGCTGCAAAACAAATATGGTAGATAAATGTCTCAAACCTGTGACACGTGTTTTTAGACTAAACACTCTGACTAATTAAGCTACCCCTTTTGAACTAATTGGGAAAATAACATAATATATAATATATTTATTGTAGCTAAAAACTATTCTTTTCCCATTAACTTTAGTATATAAAGAGTAGAATTAATCCACGCGATGCCACGACATGTGTGCGAAAAAAATTATTTAAGCATAGGTTGAAAAATATACCATATTTCTAATCACTAGGGATAGCAAGTGATAAGAAATATAGTAATTTACATTGTAAACTATGCCGTTGAAATACAAAGCAAGTTAAAAATAATTTGATTGAGTATTTCATGTCATATGTGATTTTTGGAAATGGATGAGTTTACAAGTAAATGGATACAAAACTTAGGGTTTATAGAAAAAATCATTTTTAGGGTTGCATGATTATAAAATTAAATATGCATAAAACTTTAGGTTTATAGGTTGAAACTCCTCTATGATGCCACATAATTAGCCTGAGAAAAAAAATCAAACAAATGGTCTAAACTTTTGGTTCAAATATACATCACATACATAACAACTTAAAGAAAATATAAAAAGTTACAGGATAATATAGTAACTTACATCGTATTCCAATGTGTTGAAATACAAAGTGAGTTTAAAATTAATTTGGAGTAGTATTTTGGGACTAAGCATTACTCCTCCATAATGCCATGAAATTGGCTTGAGGGAAAAAAAATCAAACAAACGGTTTAGCTTTCGGTTCAAATATAGATTAGATATATAACAACTTAAAGAAAAGTATAGAAAATTACGATATAATATAGTAACTTACACTGTATACTAAAGTGTTGAAATATAGAGTGAGTTTAAAATTAATTCGGAGAACTATTTTGGGACTAAGAGTGATTTTTGGAAGATGATGAGCTTTTAAAAAGTAAATGGACGTAAAATTTGGGTTTATGTGCATAAAACTCTTTAGGGAATGTGTGAGTTTAAAAATGAATGGGGATAAAACTTCAAATTTATAAGAAAAAAATAATCTACAATTCGTGATGTCGCCACATTCATGTGAAAAAAGAATGTAGAAAAGAAAAAGATTTAAATATTCAGTTAAAAAAATGAATTGTATATCTAACCACTTAGTTCTTACAAAGAAACGCAACTCAAAATATGTCATAAACTACTAGAATACAAACTGGATTTTTAAAAAATTGGTGACTCTTTTGCGTCTAGGAGTGACTTTGGAAGCTAACGGGTTTGAAAATAAATGGGGTAAAATTTTTGATTTGTAGGAAAACAAATCTTTTTGAAAGTTTGTAGGTTAAAAAAATGGAGTAAAATGTTAGGTGAAGTATTTTAGGTCTAAGAGCGATTTTAAATATACACAGATTCGGAAATAAATGCGTAATGAGACTTTGGGTTATATGGAAAAAGGGGGAATATAAAATCAAATGAAGGTAAAGCTTTGGATTTATTAAAAAAAACATTTCTACTGTACATCATTTCGTTGTTATATTGTTTTATTAAAACGTAGGCTTAAATTAGTTTATCAGTTGGGTTTATATACAAAACCCCCTTTATTTAATGACTAAAAATATGTGGTCTACGTAGGTATTAAATTTTTTTATGAAGTAAAACTGATATGTCAAAGTCTAGATTAGAGCCCCTGACTTGTCCCTTTAGGGTCTGGACACTCCAACCAAGTGAGGTAATTAGCTTCTTATGATACTTGGCAAAAATAACACTATATATAAAGATTATTATGGTTAATAACTGTTAATTTCCCTTTAACTTTAGTGTATAGTATGATATAATTGGGATATAAATTGATACTATAAGAAATAGAACAATGGGTTGTCTAAATATATTATCTCACTAAATTAACCATGTTTGATTATATGTTTGGGGCTTTATTTTGGGTTTGATTTGGGGCTATTTCTACAAGTCTAGGTTAACTGTATCACTATATTACGAATGTTTGACCACATAATTGAAGCTTGATTATGGATTAATTGAAGGGAATTGGTATAAGTATATGTTACATTCTTATATTAATAGAGTGCCATTTTGTATCTTCAAATAAATAAGAAAGATGTAATAATTTATTTCTTCATCCTGGTAGCAGCGCAGGTTCTCTAACCCTAGGTGTCATACCTCGGGCTCGCTAGTTTGTTGGTGCAACATAAGCCCTAGGATCTAGTGAGTACAGCCTATTGTTTGGATTGAACCACTGCCAAAAATCACTAGTCATCGTTCCACTTGACTCTTATGACTTACCTTATGAAGCTATCCATATTTTTGCAAGTACTCGATATGGGCCTAAAGGTCGTATCACACTAGGACTTCTTCTAAGTTTAAATCTTGGGTTTGCCGAGAGGACACTGCCTCAAGCACTATACCTTCTCTTTCCCATTGTGGCTATATCTAGCTCGTATCAAGTTCTCATCGTCAAATCCTCTCAACCTCTCTCTCATCCAAAATGATGGTGGCAATTCAGTCTTACATCGGAACTTTGTCTTACAAATAATACACTTGTCGAGCCTTCAACTTGAAAAATGCTTTGAGCTACAATCTTGTCCTAATGTTATTTATCCTCTCATATGGAGTCCTGACGGCCTCCACTTCTCGTATGAAGTCTCGCCAGCCCCCTTTTCTCACACGCAGTCTAGACTACCTTCTCTTCATGCATGCAATCTCACCGACCTTCTCTCCAGTGCATAGTGCCACCTCCCTCAACTTATCCCATGCAGTCCCCTTAACCTCGTCTTATGTGCATCCTCTTCACTGTCCTCTTTTCATGTATAATCTGTTGGCCTCCCTTTCACATTTGGAATCTCGTCAATCTCCTTCTCTCTTGTTTTCCTCTTCATTGTCCTCATTAGCAGTCCGTCGACCTCTTCTTACGTGCAACCTCTTTGTTATCCTCTTTTCATGTGTAGTATGTCAGCCTCCTTTTCTCACTTGAATCTCGTCAGCCTCCTTTCTCACTTGGAATCTCGGAAGCCTCTTCATTATCCTTTTTTTGTGTATAGCCTGTTAGCCACCCTCAACTTATCCTGTGTAGTCTCGTCAACTTCTTCTTACGTGCAGCCCCTTCATTGTCCTCTTTTCATACATAGTCCGTCCGTCCACCTCCTTTCTCACTTGGAATCTCGTCAACCCTGTCGGCCTCCTTTCTCACTTGGAATCTCGTCAACCTCCTCTTTTGTGCAGAGTTTCTATCTTGTTCTCTGTTCCTTCAAATCTTCTCCAAGATCGGTTTTGCTTACATCTAAGCTCCAGTCCGTGGAGGAGTACAAGGAATAATAAGTAATGTATTTTTTTGACCATATTTGGGGCTTGATCGCAAGATTGATTGGAGGTTATTGTATGAGTATAGATTGTAGTAACCATAATATTAGGAATGTTTGACCATATAATTGGGGCTTGACTTTAGGACTGGTTGGAGGGTAGTGGTATAAATAACCTTGGCTTTGTTATATAAATAATTATTAAGGCTTCATCCATACTTTCAAAGAACAGAATGCTATAATTCATTTCTTTAACCATTTAAGTCAATCCCAATCTAATTGCAGATTAGTATAGGCTATGGGCATCTGTATCCATCCAATTAAAAATGGTATTGATATAGATGAGGTTTATATGTCCCTCTATTTTCATGAGGATGAAGATGATTAAAAAAAAAGAAGTTAACTAGCATACCTTGCAATATACAGCACAGCATGGACCTTGGTTTAGCGTTTCATCCCAATTCTAGTGTTTCTGTCAGCCATGAGATTTGTTTCAACATTTATATTTTTTTATAAAAACTTTATGCTTTTTAGATGATGATAAATTGACTTTTGAAGTAAATAAAAATGGTCGCCTAAGTCTCATGAAAAAACATAAATAAAAATGGTTAAAACTAGGAGAAGATGAACTGGATATAGTGTGGTACAAAAATCATTTTTCACTAAACAAACTTGTTCATATTGTCATAGAGGACCAATAGAAGCCTTGCACAATTTCAAATTTACCTCAAGATCAATCAGTATGGAATCTAAAGGGGGCCAAGACTAGTATTACCTGATTCAAAGTAGTGATATTTTAGTTTGTCTAATACTATCATATTATGGGTTTATTAAAATATGTAAGCTTCAACTATTAGCATAATCCTTCAGTGGTCACAGGTTGGAACTCCCAACTACAAATTCATTTTCTACCTGGTGACAGGTACGTTTTCTACCTGGTCGCGTAAGTCTCAGTGGTTGGACTCTTAACTGTCCCAGTCAAAACATGAGTTTTTAACTCTTAGTTCTTGAATTTCATTAAAATATAATCTTTTATCAGCTTGCCTCATTGTCCTACAATGGGATGAAGTCTTTATTATTTGGACCATGAATACACTAATGAGGTAATACAGTTAGGACCTGAAACCAACTAACAGATATTGTCCAACTATCTTATGTCTATTTTCTATGTGAACAAGCTTCAGCTGCGAAGTAGAATAAATATATTTATCAAATGTTAAGAAAACTTCCAGAGTATAGTAGTGTGATTCATGCAAGTATACAAAATAGGTGAAGGGAGTGTAATCATCAAGCTTAAGAAAAAAATAAAGTTAAGATAGATATATTTCCTCATACTTGTATGAAACTTGATCCTGACTTCAAAGATAAGGGCTTAAACAAGTTCATATGTTTGTGTGTGCTATTCATGAAGAGATTTCATATTTGCAACTGTAACTTAGCTTAGCCATAGAATATGGACAGCTTTCATTGAATCTCACTCATCCATTAGATCAAACCATGACCTTATCAGTGAAAAAGTATGATGTTTGTATTTCAGTTCCTGCAGTTCCTTTCTGCGCTAGATGCTTTAGCTGATGTCAGTTGTTAGATAATTTGGAAAGGTGCCAGATTGCGTTGCAGTTTCCTACGGAACATATAAATTGTTTACTGGATTATTTAGCTGGATGCTACCTCTTGAAGATCCTTTACTTTGCACGTCGCACCCTAACTCTCCATCTCTTATAATGCACAGTTATTGAGATGAATTACATGGTTAGTTGTGATTTATTGCAGATACATCCCCATCCTATGGGGAGCTAGCCACTTATTTCCCTGAAAAAAGAAATTAGCACTTAAGCTCCTTTGTTTCCAAGCGGAGTTTACCTCTCTGATGTCTTTGCAAATGTATATTGATCACCTATAAGGAAATAGAGGATCCCTCTGTAACATACTGCAATATCAGGAAATCTTTCTGCAAAGTATTGTTTTGAAGTGACACCCACATAACAGGTATAGGTGATTGTGGAAGATAATTCCATTTTTGCTTCAGGAGATCAAAGTGCTAATAAACTTTTTTAGAGGATGACAAGTGGTCCTAAAAATATAGAGGTGTATGCTCTTTTATGCCATTAATCTCCATTTGCTGGAGTGAATATCATTCACTCTCTACTGTAAAATATTTACTTGATGCAACATGAAATTGCAGTCATCACCACCCTCCTAAACTTCGTCCACTTATTTCGGAATGCGCACGACGAGAACTGCAAGAATGCGGAACTTGAGAAGAAAAAAGCCCTGAAAGAGGCTGAAATGGAAAAGTCTGGAAGCCCGATGAAGAAAAAAGGCTCTTTTAAAGAGGCTGAAATGGACAAGTCCGGAAGCCCGATGAAGAGAACATCCAAGAAAGAGGCTGAAATGGACAAGGCTGGAAGCCCGATGAAGAGAATAGCCCTGGAAGAGGCTGAAACGGACAAGTCTGGAAGGCCGATGAAAAAAATAGCCCAGCAAGAGGCTGAAATTGACAAGCCTGAAAGCCCAATGAAGAAACCTGCTAGATGACCTTGCATCCACTGACCTACTAACCTTAGCTTATGACTTGGGTTCTTGCTTGTGCGTACATTTTCACCTTATCTAGTGCCGTTGAGATCAAGATCTCGCACGTCCCTGGATGAGAACCAATCTGAGCTGATCTGCACTCACCAATGCAGAGCCAAAGTCATCATACAGGGAATTCTCCAATGGTAAGATATCCACATTTCCTTTGGGATAAATTTCACAAAATCCCCCTTAAGCTTGGTAGTTTTTGAGATATCCTCCTTAACTATTTTAATAAGTACAAAACATCCCTTAACTTTGTGGGGATTTTCACATAACTCCGCTGAACTTGTTGTATTCCACTAAACCCAGATTGTTCACTTTAACCCTCAACTACAGTTTGTCATGTTCCAAGCACATGACAGAAAAAAAAGGTGAAAATACCACTTAGACCTAAAAAAAATATTCTCGGTGTTTAGTGGAATATCATCGGTTGATTGAAAAACTCTCAAAGCTGGGGGGGGGGGGGGGGGGGGTTAGTATCTATTAATGGGGATTATCCCAAAAAGGCACAAAATTAAGATGCTTTTTGTTTTGTTTTGTTTTGGTTTTTTCGCGTTTTTGTTTTTCTTTCTTTTTTCTTTTTCTTTTCTTTTTTTTTTTTTTTGGGGGGGGGGGGCGGGTGCGGTGTCGTGAAATTTACCCTTTTCTACATTGTTCAATTCATCACTTTGTTTGGACGGTCAACTGATCTCATTCTGTTTCTATTGCCTGCATCCCTGCAGGTATTTTAAAGACCATGGCTGATCCCTCCAGGCTGATAACTGTACAGACTAACCTATACGATTTTTTTTGTATATTTGATGTCTATTCCCTTTTTTTTTTTTTTTGGGCCTAAGTTTTAAGGGTAGGATACAAGCAGGAATAGGCTAGAAGCAGCTGTTTAAAATAGAAATGATGATGTGAGGATAGGAATAGTAGAAATGTAAGAGCAGAAATGTCTTTTTCCTGTGTTATTAGATGTAATTTTTGTAATTCTTATAGCTAAATAAATCAGGCCGATCGGTTCTTTAAGCTCAAATTTGCTTCTTTTCCGTGGAGTTTTCAGAGCAGTTTTGGGACTGACTGCTTGTGTGATCAACTGGAGTAATGCTACACTTCATTAATTAGTCCTTTTTTGTCAGTTTTACTCGTGAGTGCTGTTATGTTTGACCCCTTGGTTAACTTTATAGACGTTGAGTCTGAGAATTAAAGTGGATTGCTGTATCCAACAAAAAGAAATTGCCGGGCACAAACTATGGAAATATTTAGATTTTCCCTTTTATCGATAATCTCTGTATGTGTTTCTTTTCTATATTTGAATTGATATAATTGGTCTTTTGAAGCTCAGCGAGTCAAGCTTTTGGTGATTTGCGGCTAATCAGTGAGTTATCTTTTAACCATCACGATACCAGGTTTTCCTACCCTTATGCATATGCATCATGAGTTGGTTAATCTTTAGCCGACATTTTGGATGATATCTTATTGTCCTGGTAGTTGTCCGTCCCTCTGAGATATACTTATTAGCATGGTATTTGGCTTCCATATGCTTGCTATTTTGTGTATAGCTGAGGATATGGTTGATGTGAGACTCTTGTGCAAGGAACAGCCAACATTATTGAACTGATGGAATTAATCATTACAATCTCAGAACCGAAAGGGTCTAGTAGATGAGCGAAAAAGCTTTTTTAGACTGTACAACTGTGTTTGTAAATTTTTTTCAAACTGTAGCTTGCACATCTGTGTTTGTACAGCAAACTCAGTAAACTTTGGGAAGACTTGAGATAGCATACGTACAGGTGGTTTTTGCTAAATTCAGTAGAACATGGAATCAGTGTACAATTTATTGTTGCTATGTTTTATGCAGAGAGTTGAAAGAAATGTAAAAGCTGTATCAGGCTATTTCAGAGTGTGCTGGATTGAGTAGCTTGACATCCTCTCTTGTACTGAATAATTTTCAATTGTCAATAGCATGCTTTCTTTTCTTGCACTGTATCTAATTCCCCATGACTGTGTAAGATTTCTGCAATATCACAGAATCCATATCTCCATATTTTGCTATTATTAAAAAGAAATCACCACTTATACTCTATAAGCCCTGTTCGCATTTTTCCAATCGCTGTACACTTTCCCAAATCATATACCTTCTCAGGTTTGAACCTCATCCATAATTTAAACGACCAAACCCCCCTTCAATCAAACTTGACACTTATCCTCTGGTTCGAACTCAACCCCATAGTCTCCATACCCGAACCCACCCTCCAAATTCTCCAAACGGCTCAACCTACACTTTTGATAAAACACGCAGCTCACCACAATCTCAAGCACGACCAGCAAAGAATGCATATAAGCAATCATAAACCCCTCGCAAACCATCGGCGGATCGAACCTCTTCCACAGATTGTATCTCCTCATCACTCTATACTGAAACAGAGCCTCGACCAAAGTCATCGCCACGTTCGTAGTCACCGCAATGCTCAGCGCGGTCGCCACCTTGCCTTTAAGAAGCGCGCATGCCGTCATCACAACGCGCACATATCCCCTCCAACTCTCCATCGCCGACGCTGTGACG